AGTCGAGTGGAGGCTGTGGAGATGCTGAGGGCTGGAGCATCTCTGGGCCAGGACAGGCTGAGAGCCCTGGGGCTGGTGAGGTGGAGAAGACTCAGAGGGGATCTGATCAATGCTGAGCAATATCTAGAGGGCCCCTGAGGGGGCAAGAGGCTGGGGCCAGACTCTGTCAGTGGTGCCCAGAGACAGGACAAGGGGCAATGGGCACCACCTGAAACCCAGGAGGTTCCACCTGAGCAGCAGGAGAAACTTTTTTGGTGTGAGGGTGGCCGAGCCTGGAGCAGGCTGCCCAGAGAGGCTGTGGAGTCTCCTGCTCTGGAGAGATTCCAAACCCACCTGGATGTGATCCTGGGCACCCTGCTGTGGGTGACCTGCTGGAGCAGGGGGGTTGGAGGAGATGCTCTCCAGAAGCCCATTCCCCACTCCTACCATTCTGTGACCTGTTTTTCTACTACTGTAACCACATGCTGTTGTACAGCTGGTATGTGTGATAAGTTTGCCTTCACTTGTTCACCTCTTTCTGTAGGTGTGGCAGTTGTCAGAGAGAATAAGCATCAACGTGTGCTCGCAGCTGGACTGGAAGCGATGTGTGGCTGTCCACCTCTGGTACCTCCTTCCTCCCACAGCTTCCATTTCTGCAGCCCTGGCCATGTATGAGTCAGCCTTTCAGGTGGGTTGGACACTCCTGGTAGGAGAATTTCTTACTTGGTTGTGGGTACTTAGGTTTCAGTGTGGAGGTGCTGAGCAGCATTCGGGGTTCATCGTTTCAGTTGTCCCAGCATCGGGTTCCTTCCTCAGCTTTTAGGATGAAGTTTTCCCACACTTCAAGGTGGTTTTGCTGCAACTAATTAATCCTTAACTCATAACCTAGTTGTAATTAGTTCCTGCAAATTAATTTTATCAAATCTCTCTGGATTTGTTTCTTAAATACTGAGTAGCTGCGTGCTAATTATTTCAGTCATGGGGAGCATTTTGAATGACTGCATAATTTCTATTAATTTAATTTTAAATTAATGATCTAGATAGTAGACTTGTAAGTGTTAAGATTTTAAGATAGAACAAAAGACTGATATAGAGTCATAGTCATTCTGGTTGGAAGAGACCTTTCAGATCATTGAGTCCAACCGTTCCCTAGCACAGCCAGGTCCCCACTGACCCGTGTCCCTCAGCACCACATCTCCACAGCTTGGAAACCCCTCCAGGGATGGGGACTCCACCACTGCCCTGGGCAGCCTGGCACAGCCCTGGACAACCCTCCAGGGCAACCAATTGTTCCTAATGTCCAGCCTCAACCTTACCTTGGGAAATTGTGGCCATTTCCTCTTCTCCGGTCCCCTCTTCCTTGGGAGAAGAAACAGATAACTACCACCTGGCTCCAGGTTCAGCACCCCCAGGTCCCCCAGCAGCTCCTCCCCACACTTGGGCTCTAGACCCTTCCCCAGCTTTGTTGCCCTTCTTTGGAAGGCCTCCCTTTGCTGCCAGGTGGATGGTGCCCAGCAGCAGGAGGGCCATTTGAGCTTGGTCGCCGGTTGTTTTGCCCAGTGTGAGGATTAATATTCACCTGGCTGACTTCTAAACTGTTTGCTGAAAAAAAACCCTGTTTGTGAACAGTGCTGGGTTAACAGCTGGTCTCAGTGACCTTAAAGGTCTTTTCCAAATGAAATAACTGATCTGTAGTGCCACTCAGTTAGAATATGGGGGTGGTCTCACTGCAGCCTGATGATGTGGATGAGCAATGGCTACTGCTTGTTTCCAGAACTTCATGTAGCAGAGGTGATAGCTGTGAGGTCCATTCAGGGTCTGGAATCCTCTTCCAAATCCAGAGCTGATGTTCCTACAAGCAGGGAAAACATCAAGAGGACTTTCTGGTCTAAGTGTCATGTCATTGTAGAGTTGCTGTGGAAGTTTTAACTGTGGTGTTATCTTTAAACTTACTGTCCAAACTATTTCTTCAGAACACACCAGAGTGTGAAAAATATGCCTGCTGTCCTCTGCCTCCTTACCTGGAAGATTCTGGCTGCATGATTGAAGAAGATGATCATGCAGGAAGACCACTGAGAGATGTCTGCTTCCATTTATTAAAGCTCTACAGTGACAGGTAAATGGGCAGTGAACACCAAAACTATTGACAGAAATATTGATCTGTGACTCCCAATATCATAGAATGAGTTGATTGGAAGGGTCCTTAAAGATCATCTCGTTCCAGCCCCCCTGCCACAGGCAGAGACATCTCCCACTAGAGCAGGTTGCTCAAAGCCCCATCCAGCCTTGCTTTGAACACATCCAGTGATGGAGCATCCACGGCTTCCCTGGGTGTGTTCAAGATCTTGATTAGTTGTTCAGTTCTCAAATGAGGGCTCTGAAGCCAGCCTCTGTATTTACTGAACCACGTAGAGTACCCAAAAATCTGCCTGGCACACGAGTGTGGTGAGACTGTCACTGTTGCTGATGGTAGAGATGAGGAAACTGAAGCTTTGGAGCATCGTTCTGGAGTTTTTACTACATATTTTCTGTGTCTGAAGAGCACAATAATATTTCCTTGACCAGAGTTGGCTTTTCTGAAGGCACATAGAAAAGAAAAGGTCATGATGGTTTGGATGCAGGGTCAAAAAAAGAGCAAAAGGATTTGACATGGACCTGCTGGAGCAGGGCCAGAGGAGGCCACAACAATACTGTGAGGGCTGGAACCTCTCTTCTGGGAGGCCAGGATGAGAGACTTGGGCTTGTTCAGTTTAGAGAAGAGAAGGCTCTGGGAAGACTTTGTGGCCATTCATTATCTAAAGGGGGCCTACAATAAAGCTGGGCAGGGACTTTTTTACAAGGGCTTGTAGTGGTTGGACAGTGGGTAACGGCTTCACCCTGGAAGAGAGGAGATTTAGATTAGAAGTTAAGAAGAAGCTCTTAATTCTGAGGGTGGTGAGACACTGGTACATGTTGCCCAGGGAAGTGGTGGATGTTCCATCACTGAAATTGTTCAAGACCAGGTTGGATGCAGCTTGGAGCAGCCTGGTCTAGTGTGAAGTGTCCCTGCCCATGGTAGGGGGTTGGAACTGGATGACCTTTAAGATCATAGAATCATAGAATGTTTGGGTTGGAAGGGACCTCCAAAGGTCATCTACTCCAACCCCCCTGCAATAAGCAGGGACATGTCCAACTAGGTCAAGCTGCTCAGAGCCTCATCAAGCCTGACCTTGAATGTCTCCATGGATGGGGCCTTCACCACCTCTCTGGGCAGCCTGTTCCAGTGGTCTGTCACCCTCGTATCAAACTTCTTCTTAATGTCTAACCTAAATCTGCCCTTTTCTGACTTAAAGCCATTACCCCTCGTCCTGTCACTACAAACCCTTGTGAATAGATCCCTTGCAGCCCAAAGCATTCTAGGATTTTAGCCATTCCTTCTACTTCCAAAAAAAAAAAAGCGGAAAAAAGGGAAGAAAAACAAATAAACCATCAACCAAACCAAACTCCACACTGATGTAATTCCCTTCTGTGGAATAGCTGGAGGTGGGTGAAGGGAAAGGAACCCGATAGCACCAGCTGGTGACTTTATTTGGACACAATTAGCTATTTACATTGGAAATATTCTTCCCTCCAGGCACTATGACCTTGACCAGCTCCTTGATCCCCGGAGCATCACGTCTGACCCTCTGGACTACCGCCTGAGCTGGCACCTGTGGGAAGTTCTGCGAGCCCTGAATTACACCCACCTCCTCAGGCAGAGCCAGGGGGTGCTCAACGCCGGCTACGCCGCCCAGCTGGAGAGCGAAGGCCTCTGGGAGTGGGCTGTTTTTGTCCTGCTGCACGAGCCTGAGAAGCAGTGAGTAAAAGAATTCCTTTTTTTTTTTTTTTTTTTTTCTCCTGGAAAATACCGTGGTGTCAATTTTATGGACCTGTCATGGAATTATCCCAGCTTCTCTCACCTGAAACTGGAACTGTACAGCTGGAGAACTTGATGCTGCTTGTAAAAGCTATGTACTGGGATCACAAAGTGGCAGGAAATATGGGGACAGACTTTTATTGAGCAGGGCCTGTTGTGACATGACAAGGGGAGATGGTTTGAAAGTAAAAGAAGGAGATGGAGACTGGAGAGAAGGAAGAAATTTTGATGCTGAGGGTGGTGAGCCCCTGGCCCAGGTTTCCCCGAGAGGAGGTCACTGCCCTATCCCTGGAACCATTCCAGGGGAGGTTGGCCGGGGCTCTGAGCAACCTGCTCTAGTTGCAGATGTCCCTGCTCCCTGCAGGGGGGTCGGACAAGAATGGTCTTCTCACTCAGACCATTCCATGAATAATTCTGCTTAGCTAAATGTCTTGTTAGATGTTAAATCAATTTGCATTTTAATGGTAGTAACTCCTGAAGGGTGCCGCAGGAGCTGATCTCACAGCAGTTTTGGTATCCTTAGGCTGTGGATCTTGTCTCTGGCTCAACAAGCTTAACAGGTTCAAGAACTTGTCTTAAAATTAAAGCAGAATGTTGTAAATGTTCCCTTGGCAGCCGAAAGGAAAGCTAGAGAAGCACCAAAATGCACGTTCTGCTTCTGTTCTGAATTACAGGCTTAACAAAGAATGGTCTTGAATGCAGAATTTGTCTTCTGAGGAAAGGTGTCTTTGGCTGTTCATGTTTCCAGCTGCCAGTAGTACCTTGCAGTAGAATTCTTTTCAAATTGATGACTTCCAGTAGAGCCTGTGTGATACTTTGAAGGGCCTGGATGATACTTAAGTGGTTTTAAGCTTAAAACACCAAAGATTTTATAGAACACGTGCAAGGACTTGTCACAGTGGAAACAACATCACAGAATCACAGAATGGTTGAGTTGGATGGAAGCTCTCAAGGCCATCTCATCCAACCTCCCTGCAGGGAGCAGGGACATCCCCAACTAGAGCAGGTTGCTCAGAGCCCCGGCCAACCTCCCCTGGAATGGTTCCAGGGATGGGGCAGCGACCACCTCTCGGGGCAACCTGGGCCAGGGGATCACCACCCTCAGTGTCAAACATTTCTCCCTTCTCTCTAGTCTCCAACTAAAGTTTCAAACCATCCCTCCCTGTCCTGTCCCAACAGGCCCTGCTCATAAGTCCCTCCCCATCTTTCTTTATAAGAAACCCCCTGTAAGTCCTGTCAGGCCCCCAGAAGGTCTCCCCAGCTGGAGCCTTCTCCTCTGCAGGCTGCCCAAGCCCAACTCTCTCCTGCTGGGCTCCCAGCAGGGGGGTTCCCCCCTCGGGTCCTTGCTGGGGCTCCTCTTGCCCCGCTCCC